CTGCTGCTGCTGCTAGTGCTACTGTTACTGCTGCTGCTGCTAGTGCTACTGTTACTGCTACTCCTACTACTACTACTACTACTACTACTGCTACTACTACTGCTACTACTGCTACTACTGCTGTTGCTACTATTGCTGCTGCTACTATTACTACTACTACTACTACTACTACTACTACTACCACTACTACTACTACTACTCCTCCTTTGGCTTCCTTCCGTCATTCCTTCCTTCCTTCCTGTCAGGCCTAACCGTTGCTCAGCAGCCCTGTGCATGGGAGAATGTTTAGATCACCGTGAAGCCGCCACACGTCCTGTGGCAGCGATGGACGAATGCCATGTACAAGGCAGAAAGGCAAGAGCAGCACAGTGAGACGGTAGCTCAGCAGCCCTGTGCATGGAAGAATATCTTGGGGTCACCGTGAAGCCGCCAAACGTCGTGTGGCACCGATGGCAATGTAGAAGGCAGAAAAAGCAGGAACGGCAGAGTGAGACGATCACTCAGTTTCAGCGGTACCGCATCGCAGAAAAAACTGCTTGAAGGCACAGATGGCATTCCGCAATCGGCATTTGCTCAGCCCAAGATAGACGTAGCGAGCATCCACACAGAGGAAACCCTCCGCGTCGGCACGATAGTGGTCATTCGAAACCGAAGCACCATGATGCTCCACGACCGCCCGGACTGTACCTAAGTGAGACGCTTTCGCCCATGAAACTGCCGAGCAACCTGAACGAACACAATGTCCGTGTAGGCATACTGAAGAACATCCATCATGGCCTCCACCGCAATGCCGCTGCCTGGTCAACGAACGGCCTTGAAGAGCGCCTGCGTAATTTCTGCGAAAACAGCTTGCATTCCGCCCTCCTGCGAAGTTGCAAGAAAAGGCGCATACGCGCAATGATATCCCGAAAGGTGCCCGTGCTCTGCGCGCCCAGTTGTCTCTGGGCCTGCCAGTAGCGAACGATCTCCCCATTTCGTCCAAGCAGAGCGGGCCGAACCATAAGCGCGACAGCGGACAGCTGGAGGTGATTCTCGCTCCGACAAACTGGTGACATGCCTGCCGCGAGTTAATTCCCAGGGTTTCCAACGCAACAAGGTTGTATAGCGGCTTATGACCAGTACCGCCATCCCGCCAGTGGAACCCTCCAGTGTGTTGTCACACCAAAAGCAAGAATCCCCTAACAAGAATGAAGTCTATTTATTCCCACTCGGGTGGCTCATAGGCGCAACGCCTGTGGGATACGAGCACGGCTGTCAAGCCCTGCCTCTCCGCAGCTACCGCCTCCTGATAGGAATGCTGAGTTATACCGTGCCCCGCGAAACCCGAAGCCGAGTTCAAACCACTGTTGAAATCACCTGCCAGGATTATCGACGAGCGAATTGGCAGGGAGCGCAAGAACTTGTCCAAGCGCGCCCGCGGGGTTTTTTTCCTCACGAAGCGCCTTCTCCAGTGCGTCTGCTTCAAATGGTAATGTTAGTAATGCGTGCTGGATGTGCTAGAAAATAGATACCATGTCCAATTGTTTCTCCATGGCGAAACACCTCAAGTGGGAGCACAGGCGCGGGAGTGGAGAGCTGTTTTCCTCTGTAGTTGACCTTCAGACCCGCCTCAACGCGCCTGATAACCCGCTTCAAGGACGTTTTTCTTGCAAGCCACACACGTAGCGCCTCCACAGTGAGAATGCCAATCTTCACCGCCCACGAGAAGGTGAGGCAGTTTCACGTGGGCCACCGGGATCCACACCAACTCCCACGCTAAAGGCTTCACTTTTGCCCGCCACATGATTCATGCCAGCCCTTTCCCGGACTTGGGACCGGGGCGAGCGAACTCCCAAAAGTCTGACAGAAGTTGCTGCATGGAGTGAAAGACCATGAGACTGGGATTGCTCATTCTGGGAGACATTATGCACGGGTAGGGTCGAGAGGCCATGCCAGACCTGCTGCATCATATGATGCCAGGATGATGTATACCGCAGCAGCCAAGTCAGCCGGGTAATTTAGAGCCGCAAATTCAAGAATCTGCCGAAAGAACGATGATCAAGAAGAATGAATGCGGCGTCCACGACTCATGGCACAGCTCCCCGAGAAAGTCTGGTGCACAGCTCAACACGGTGTCAGACGCCACGTCTTCCGGAACCTCCCCCCCTCGAACCGCTCGCATGGCCGGTGTACGTTGTCCACTGCCTGCCGTTCGACTCCATTTACGAATTCTCTTTACTTCACAGAACCCAAGAATGTCTACAACACAGTGCGGCAAAAAATGGCACACCCACCAATGCACAGCATACGCATTTGCACATGCGGCGCAAGTTTCCCATGTAATACATATGCGACGCCTGCGGAAGCAATTTGGCTGGCCTATTCAACGACAAGTCCTTCTCTCAGTTGCACACAACAAGTCCACAAGTGAGACTACTCGTCCGCAGCCCTTTCGACTGTTCAACATAAAACTTCTAAGTTGGCCCAAGTTTTCCTATTTTGAGCTTGTAAGGGTCGGTGTGACCAAAGTATCAGTATCTTGAATGTGCTGCAGCCACCTCTCGCTCCGTGGGATGATGGTATATGTAGTGGCGTATTTGGTGGGCTCTTGGTATAGAGAAATTACTGGCCAAAATTTGTTGCCTCTGATAGGCCTGTGTCATAGTGAGTTCGGCCCAATGTATGCAAGGATGGCCAGGGCGCGCTCACGTAATCTGCGATATGCGTGCGCTGCCTGACATGTAGATATGTGTTCGAGAGATTCTGCGTGAAGGATGTGGCCTAAATATGATATTCGCGAAGAAATGATTCGCTGCGATGGGGCTAGAAGTTTAGGGGCGTACCCATACGCCAATTGGGAAAAGTACTCGTTGGAACAATCTTCATCGGAGGGCTCCAAGACTTTGTGGTAGAAGGAGCTGTTGACGTTAAAGATTTGTCGTAGGACCTTATAGTGTAGTTTGTTCAGCTTTGTGAGGTGTGATTGGAGATACGTCTGCAATTCCGACCCATACAGCCGGATAGCCCACACAATCCAGGAATGCTCTAAAAGCCTGCTCTTAATGGTAATGAAAAGGTGCTTGAAAAAGTCATGCAAACATTTAGCCGCGTTTGCCGCCTCAGCATGACGTTTTTTGGCATCTGCTTGGGCCGAGGAAGGATAAGTAGGCACGGCGCCTAGTTAATCCGCGTGAGGTTTGGGATCTATTCGCAATTCTTTAGTCTGATATGGGGAATGTGTTGGCCTGGCAAAAATCGCACTGGCAGTGGTGGTGCGGGGTATCTAGTAAATAGATAGGAAGATCCGAATCAATAGTCACCAATTGGAACTTCTCATGGTTGAGGGACTTTCCCCTCTTTACCGAGTGAGCCTGTAAGGTATGGAGAAAACGATGCAACGATATTCCTTTACGGGAAGCAATACCGTCTCGTCCGCATATTCCACAAATTCCACGTCTGTAAGTCTGAAATCTGACGTTAGAACCGAAGGTCTGGGACCATACGCGGCCGCATAGGCCTCATAGGTATCGTGGAAGAGCACAGACAAGGTGAAACTAAAGTCGGGCACAGGACTGCGGAAGTGAAGTCCTAGTGCAATCTTCGAAGTCTGCAAGGCACTTTGCGCTACTGCTGCGCGAGCAGTGGTTCAAGGACCCTTCTCTGTGCATGTGCCAAACGCCTTCAACGACCAGTACGCAGGCATGTCTATCGCACAGCCCGGAGCATCAAAGAAGCAGAAGCAGGGAAGTTGAGGCCTTGTCGATCGTTCCACCAGTGGCGATAACCAAGATGCATGGCCTCGGGAAATGTGTGCAAGTCCCGTTTACGGGAACTGTCAGCCTTCACCCAGCTGTACTTGCACTGTCATTTCTACACTCATAACTCATAACTGAGGCTGATGCTCCGCAGGACCTTGGAGGTGGCCTCCGAATCAAAAGCGGCTCTTGTCCTGGCGTTTGCCTGACCCAGACACTCATTCACTGGAAACTGGCCTGCCATCCGCACCCGAAGACGCAGGGTCGGTGAACAAAGTTGCCACTTCACCAGAGTGGCGCCAAGTCCAAGAAGCAAGGACAGAGATGGGATGAGCTTGCGGCGTCCACCCATCTCATGATACCATCTAGTGTCTCTCCCTGTCTGAGCCAAGTACAGCATGTAAGGACCCAGTACGAACAACTATGGCCAGAGACAACATCCTCTTTGCATTTTCGAAATCTACATCGGGCAGTGCCTTCCACGGTCAAGTATGTCACAGAGAACTCGAGGAGATCTCCGCAGCTGCCGCTGTGCTGAAACTTTGCCTGCGTGATCTCGAGCATGCTTAGCTGTGGATTTAGATTTGCCAACAACGAAGCGCTGCCTGAACTGTTGGTGACGGGTGAGAAACTGGATTCTGCAGTAGCACGCGCCTCGACTTCACACGATGTGCGCCGATTCGCACTGAAGTTGGGGACACGATGGAATCACGTTGGGCTGTCGGCTCCACGAGTTCAGCACCATGATCTTCTGCACCTGGCACTACCCACTCCGACCAAACATGGTGGGACTGCCAAAGCCCACGTGGAGACTTCACGCCAAAAACAATCTGGCCTTCCATCACAGCGACCATTGGGACGAGCTGCAGGAAGCTTCCTGCTATGGCCTTTCGCGTTCGCGTGGCCACATCTTTGCACCCTTGGAGTATCAATGGCCTGGGCATCAGCTAACACGCGGATAGACGGTTTTCACGAGTTCGATGACAACTGGCCTCCCCGACAAGTTGCAAACAACGACCTGTTCCGAATCCACGAGCAATTAGGCCTGTCTGTGGCTCTCAGCTAGAGCCTCGTAAAAGCGCTCCTGACGTAGAATTAAGCTCCGTGGACCACTGGCCTCGGGTCCGGCGAGAAGAAGCTTTCGTCTAACCAGACTGAGCTATGGTTGGTATGGCTGCTATGCGGGTGGCCTTTTGGACTTCCAGGATGAACGTTGCAAAACCACTTGGCGATACCTCGCAAAAAGGACTTCAGTGCGCCGCCTATCTTGATCGGGAAAAAGGCTCGCACATGCAAGTACATCGAATCCGCCGTTCGGCGATTCCCAGGCCTGCAGCTTAACTCTTTGAACCAAACATGCAACCTGCTGAGCTCTTCGATCTTAGGCTTGGACTTGCTGTCGACATTCAGAAACCAACCAACTGCCTCGCTCGGCCCAACCTGTGCTTCTATCGAAAGGTGTTTGAAGCATGCAGTACACTCACAAAATTGGGAATCCGCGCTGCCAAGCGAAGCCTGTAGGTAGGGGATACTCCTCGACATCCACGAAGCTGCAAGTGCAGAAATCTGTCCTAGTGGCATTGTCGTAAGTTGTCGTCTCCTGATGAAACATCAAAGCCACCTTGCGGCTCGATCATCCACCTGAGAGCTCCCATTCCTCCATTCCAGACATCACAGGTCTCACACATCATCTCTGCAGCCAGAGCACTCGGCAGCAGGGATGTTGTCATCACCTCGACAGCCCAAGGAAGAGTAAGATGATGCTTCTCACTGCAATCTGTAGACACTTCCGCTGCCTTTCCTGACGATGACGTTGTGACACCGCTGCGCATCTTCTGCCTATCATGAGAGCATGTTGTTTTGCAGAGAACTCCAGCCCACAATCACCATTTTGAGCTGTCGGCTACATCGAGAAGCCAGCCACTTGTCTGACTGAAGTGATTGGACACGCAACGAATCAAAAACCTGGGCCAGTTTGGATGACTGACTCACTCAGCTGTGAAGTGCACACAGATCGCACCGCTCCTTCTGCGATCCGGAGGGTGCTCGTTCCAGGGTCCAGTGCCCACTCAGTCAACAACTAACTCGTATGAAGCACACAGGCTTTTCACACGTCTACGAAATCTCGGCATGCCAATCTGAACTCCTTGTGCAGGGTCTAACACTGCGGTTTAAACAATCGTGGATTTCGGGCTTGCCAAAACCAACTCAGTTTTGCTATTACTTTTACACACGCTGGTTCGTCGGGAGCATCGGTCGGCGTAATACCTCACCCTACCGACAACCAGCAGGCATGTTGGAATGCGCGTTGTGGAGGATAGAACTTGAACTAAAACATACATACACTTTAAGCTGCAAAGAACTGGGTGTTGCAGAAGGACCGGCTGGAAAGCTAGTGCCGCCAACACCCAACAAGCAGGTGCACATGGTGTCAACTCAGATGAAGACTGAAAGTCGGCGGAGCCCCGTTCCAGCTGCCACTCGCCGGCAAGGCCAGGTCCAGGTCTGTGCGCGCTCACACAAGTCCTTGAAGATACATGCCAAAAGCCGCTAAGCCGTTAAGCCGCTACCGCTTCAGCACACTCCGAGGAATTCGCGAAGTGCAGTCTCTTTGGTCTGCTTTGACACTTCGCTGCCTGGAATTCAAAAGAGCGGATAACTGACGGAGCGCCTGCAGCTCCTGGAAGTGACAAAGGCTTCTCCGAAATCTAAAAAAGGCGCAAGCTAGACCCCGGCCTCAAAATTGACAGCTCATGAGTCTGAGCCCCTTACGCATCGAGGCACCAACCAGCATGTTGCTGAGGTTCCCTTGGATGCCCAGAACCGTTGGGAGGCTGCCAGCTTCTGACCCGCACTTGCAGCTAATCAGTGGGCCCGACGCAATTCGAATCCTGACAACGGGCCTTCCATCTCCAAATTCCTCGTGAAGCCCAGATGGCCATGTTGCGTCGGTTATACGACTTCTGTGCCGAGACATACACAGCAGAAGCCGGCGGCTTGAACGCAGGCTGGTCTGCAGCAACCTGTCCAAGCTTTGCAAGATTAAACCCATCAAAAAAAATGCTACCTGCTGGACGGGCCCGACAAGGCCTTGCACGTGAGGCGCAATGGCTGGGAAAGAAGCATGAGCACGTTTGAACATGCTCAGCAGCTCTTGTTTGATGCAGCACTATCAAACAAACGATGGCAGACCAAGTCTACCCAGGAAAGACATGTGTCGAAGGCAACGCCATCAACCTGCTCCAGCAAACCCGCTGCGGTTCAATTCTTGCTCGCTCGAGCCAAATACTCCGAAGACATGCTGGTACAAACAGCTGGCAGCTTTGTGATCATTGAGTTGATGCATGACGTGTTTCGTTCTTGGCTGCACGCACTGCAGCAGCTTGCAGAAGACCTATGCGAAATACATGCGTAGCACTACCAATACAGACCAGAAACTACTACTAGGTGGAACCCGACATATAGCATGTCCTGTGTACATACCAGCGGCACGTCGGCTCTGCTCAGGCTGGCAGAAGAGCGCTCACCTGCCAGTTTAAAGCACTTAAAGAAATCTCGGTATGACCAGGGCTAAACCAAGAGACACTAAGAACTTCACTCATATTCTGGCACATAGGCGCTGTCAATAACGCCTGACCGTCAGGCTAAGGATTCATTTTGTGCCAGACGCGCAACATGTCAGCAGCCAGCCGGAACGGATTGCACAATGCATCACGTGCCCAGATACCTGCCCCGGGACGCTCAAGTTTGCAGGCCTGCAGACGTGCTCACGAAGCTGCTTGACAAAGGGAAAAACGAGATTTGCATAAGATTGGCTCGACTACCGTCATGAGCCCGCAGGGCTGGAACATGAAAAGATGACATGACACCTTGTAGAAGAAGCAGTCACCACGGCCGATTGACCATTTCATCTCGTGGGTATCGATTGTGTGGCAATTTCTGACCTGCAGAAGTTGAAGATCCCAGCAGGACTACATGCATAATGGACACATGAAGATTGTCCATGGCTGTAGATATCACAACACTGAAAGCTAAGCTCCACACAACGACGGTGCCTCCTTTCGTCAGCAGGTACTGCGCGATGTTGTTATGCCCAAACTCCTGACATAGCTCCAAACCTGATACGACACCCAGGGACTGTTTTGGCCAAGCACCTGCGATAGATCATGCGAGTGACCGGATGTCGGTGTAAAAGAACGCCCCGTATAAACGACCGCTTCGTCGTCATCTCCCGCTCCTCCTCCACCTCCTACATCTCCTCCACCTGCTGCAGGGGACCTAGCGGCCGTTGCATCCTCCTCGCCCGCTTTGTTCATCATCAACATCATCTGCAACAACAGCATCACCAGCGCTAGCATCAGCATGATGCTCGCGATCAGCATCCTCTTGGCCACCAACACTACGCCCACCACCAAAGATGTTAGGCTCACATGTATCACCATCATCCCTGCCTCCATCCCTGTCATCATCACCATCTAAGCCATAATAATCCACATATACTCTTCATCTTTGCCATCCTCAGCATTACCGGCCATCATCATGATCAAAATCTTCTTCCTCATCGGCTCCCGAGAAGAAACCATGATCACTGCTGGCCTACATGCCTTCTCCAGTTTCGTTTATTCGTTAGGAGACTGACAACTTGTGACAAGCAAAATCAGAGTTATCCGGCTCCACCAACTCATGAGAACGACACGAAGCGACGCCACCAAGGAATCGAACCGTTCAGGTGAATTCGAGACAAACTCAGCACGTGCAGCGCTTGGGAAGACAGAACACTACATCAACACCGAATGGTCCTTGGCAATGAAGACCTCGCAGAAAATACTGCACAACTGAACAAGCCGTAATTCTGTCTGCCAAGCTCATGAGAGCTCCGGAAAACCTCAATGCAGAATAAGGAACGGCGTTCCCATTCCACAGAACCGGATTTATCTCGTCGACATCCTGCACATCCAACTGATGCAACCGCTGGAAGATTTCCCGACCCAGTGCATCTTTAAGGTCATTCGAACCTGAAAATGCCTCGGCTGAACACACATGGGCTCTGTGCCTGCCCATTGTCTATGTACTCCTTGACGCGGTTAAAGTCACCTGCCCGAGCCACCAGAGTGGCGAATGAAGTAATTTTAAGAAGCTGTTTTTGATTAGGATACAGCCTTGCACTAAGAATGCGCGCCTGCACAACATGCTCCCCACCATGTGTGTTGCGAGCCCTTGCTCTTCAAGTATTCACCTTCACGAGTCACCGCAGCTTTTCAAAGTCTACAAGGACGTGCTGCGACATGGCAAATGCAGGCAAGTGACATATTGGATGCTCATTGGGGAACCTGTATCCCTGCCATGATGCAAATCTGAGTTCAACAAGGGTGCAGACTTTGGAAATGAATCATTACCCTTTTAAAACAAATCACCTCGTAGCCAGCATAGTCGATGGCGCGCAGTCCTGCAGGAAAGAGAAGCGCCACCCATGTGAGTGCGAAACAAAAACCTCTGGGACACATCCTGCGCGAGACAATGGGCCATCCAGGTCAGCTTCGAAGTCTTCAACAAGCAGTTGAACAAGATCCTGCCACTGTGTGTTTGCGCATGTTCGCGTGTGACACATACCCGGCATGCCCCGTCATAGCAACAACGGAACTGCTTGTCAAAACGCTCTGGACGTGGACGGTCCCAATTGCCCAACATGGATGAGATCATCAGGGCGGTCATGTGGTTGCTGTCCAACGGGGCGTTTGGATTTACACCAGCCTGCAAACATACCACAAATCGCGGAAATGAAGGCACGTCTGCTGCTTCAAGTTGCCAGCTTCCTTGCCTGCAATAGCTTTCGCACAGTGAAAACATCACCATCCACCACAGCTTGCTCCAGTTCATATAAGTCCGGTGGTAGGGTGTCTCGAAAGTAATCGCCGGAATACCGGTTTGGGAATTTGCGTTCCTGCCAAAACAAAACAACGATGACATGACATTGCGGTTCAACGCACACACATGCCTCCAGCACAGGATAGTCCAGCGCCCATGACGGAAGAGTCATGGCCAACACCTTCTCTGCAAGCCTTTCGCTGCAGCACGTACATACGAAACATTTGCGGCTGCAACAGCGTTCACATCCTGGTCGCACTCATGCTGACCACCGTTGAAATCAACAAGCTGCTATCACGCTACGGATGCCACCTGCCAACAAACACCAACATCGAAAGCGTTGAAGTTCAGAAGTCTTTCAGACCCCAAAATCATCAAATAGTCTTGTTTGTAATTTGGTTATGATGTTTTTTATGGTTGGCGTTTATGACTTTTATGACTTCATCCTGGCGGCCGGGTCAGGCCCTGTTGAATTTCATTACATGGAATTGAATTGTATGTGCTTTCGGCATCTGGGCCAAAAAGCTTGCAAACATTTATGAAAAGTTTTTGAAGTGAATATGAACGAGATGTGAGAAATATAGCAAAGTTTTTCGAATAATGGATCGAACGGGGCATGTGAATCAAACAATCACAGTCACATTGTAAGCCCGAAACAAGCGTACTGTACAGGAACGACTTTTGCTCCAAACGAACCAGCTCTTGCCAAGCACCCTGATTGGGCTCTAACAATGTTCAAGTTTGCGCGGNNCGCGGAATGCATCTGTGCATGCCTGTGCATGTTTTTGTCCGTTTCTTCCGAATCTCAAATTTTTTGCCGAACTAAGCGGGCCGGAACGTGGATGTCTCACCTCAGGGATTCGATCGTCGTCGAAACCAACCCAGACATAAGGTGGAAGCCGACTAAGCATCTGGCAGCCATTCTTGCGCCAACGCACAATGGTTTGCCCCTCAGAAGTCTGTTTCTCGATCGTCGTGCAAGCAACATCCACAAGTCCAAAGCAGGGCGCAGCGTGTCGCAAGAGCACGATGTTTTGGCGTGAGGCGTTCTCGTAACGCGACACAATCGCACAGTCCGCAGAAGTGACAGACGTCCTTTACCTTTCTCCTTTCTTTTGCAATTTCTTCACATTAGACTGCAAACCGTGTGGCGTTTCAACCCAAGCTCTCAGAAGTTGTAGGCTTCATGTTCTTTGAAGTCTTGATGAACTCGAAAACAGAACCGCAGAAGGAGCATGCAAAAATAGTGAAGAACGCTCTTAGTTCGAAGTGAAGCCAAGATGATTTTAAAAGTCATTACAGACACCTTGTACACACAGTGTAACGTCACAAATGACATTGCTTGTGGAAAGAATGACTCCGTCAACAACTGTGTAATGCAGACCAATTGGGTTGGCGATTATGGATGTAAAACTTGTGATAGAAACTGAACTGGAGTAAAATATCAACTTTTGAAAAATCTACGAGCCGTGTCTGTAAGTTCGGAAAGGCCTGTGCTGAGCATTGAAGCCGCAAAAACTGCACATGGGCGCAAGTCAGCCAGTAATCACGCTAAGCAGCGATGGAGAACAACGGGTCGTCCTGGTTTCAAGCCCAGGGTTCTGCTTGCTCCTGATAGGCACTAGCGCGGGATCGACGTGAGCGTGGGTGAGAAAAACATCTAGCTGCACCAGGAAAGTTGCACAGGCGCAGCTTGTACTGGGGAGGTCACTTGAGCTCT